AATAGGCGCGCCCGAAGGCTATTGGCTAGCCAACCTGCCGCCTCTCAACGCGTAACCAATCAGAGGACAGCAGTAAGAAGGACGCCTTCTCCAGAGAGAGCGCGCGCTTTACGCCCGCTTCCGGCTGGCTTATGTTAGGCGGGCTGGGACTGGGTTGTTCGTCTTCTTTGCGCTCCTGTCAAATTGGAATGCAGCCGGCATTTCAGTTCCATTTACTTTGAATAGGTTTTGCGAGGAAAATAAATGTATTCGAGGGTTAATCCTAGCGGCGTGCAGTCTTATTTTTGGACAGATTTGCCTAGAGCGTCCTTGTACGCACATTAGCAGCCTGGCATTGATTCTGCTTTCAGTGTTTACATAATTAGAATATTTTTGTTACACTGTTCAGAAAGTACATATTTCTCATGTATATTCTTCCTTCCTTCCCCTTGGATGGCTCCAGCTTATCTGCCCATCTTCCCTTTCCAGGCTTTTCCTCCCTGCTGTCCTTTCACCCAGGACGGCTTCAGAAGCATCACCTGTGGAGGTATACAAGAACAGGTGTTGAGGGTAGAGTGATTCAGTGTGATAAACCTTGGGACACTGGTGTCCTGGTCGACTGGGCACTACTGGAGTCGAGACATGCTGGGTGAGGCCAAGGGAGCAGCTGTCCCACCATTTTTCTTTCTGGACTGCCTCCTATGGCCAGCTTGCCAATTAATACACAAGTATTTTAAAAGCATAAGGTTGGAAGGGTCCTTGGAGGTCTTCTAGCCTGATGCAAATGCCCTGTAGAAGAATCCTCATATCATCCCAAACAGTGTTCAAACATTGCTTGAAAAACTCCACTGCTGGCACATCCATGTCTCTTAAACAAGCTGAATAGTTATGGTTAAGAATTTTTTTATTTTAAATTTGGATTTCTCCCTGTAAGTTTGTCACCCACCAGTTGTTGACATACCCTCAGTGCACTACAAAAAATAAATCCGCACACTGCCCTGTGACATCTGCATCCATTGGAAAACTATCATCTCTTCCCTTAAGCCTTCTCTTTTTTTTACACTAAACATAACAAGTTCCTTTAAATGCTCTTCGTAGAGATGCTTACCACTTTGTCACTCTTCTCTGCAGTATTTCCAATTTCTGAGCATCCTTTTGGTATTGTGATTACCAGAACTGGACACAGTATACAAGATGCAATTTGAGCAGTGCAATATAAGGCAGTAGTATCTTCCCATGATCTTGACAATATATCTGTTGATTCACTCCAAAAGTGCATGGGTATACAAGCAGTTGTGGCATACTGATAGCTCGTGTTTAATCTACCAGGACAACCAAGTCCTTCAAGTACTACTGCTGAGCTAGGTACCACCTGTTTTGAGTACATGTTTTTTCCTAAGTAGAGAACCTTACATTTTTCACTATTGAGCCACATATTGTTGGTTAGGGCGCAATATTCAAATCTGTTAAGATAATTTTGAACCTTGAACCAATCTTCTGAGGTATTGGCAATGCCTCCAAGCATTGTGTCATCCACAAATTTCATGAGCATCTTTCCTATTTTTCATCCAAGACATTTACGAATATAATAAAGAGTACCTAGCTCAGGATAGAACTCTGTGGTACCCCACTGCATATCTCCCTCCATGTGGATGTAGAACCATTAAGAACTGTATATCTGGAAACAATTGTTCAATCAACTGTGAATCCATCTCATAATGGGATCATATTGTTCCAGTTTATCAAGAAGTTGGTCATGGTCTACTTCAAGGGTGTCAAAACATTGCCCACCCCAGCTCCATGAAAGGAAAAAAAGTCTCAATACATTATGTGACAGCAAGATGATGCCGTGAGTTTGATACCATGGTCTACTTTATCATACTTGACTAAGTCTAAAGATCCTACAGGATTTCCTTGATTCACTAATCTAGTTGCATTGTCAAAGAAAGCAGTAAGATTTATCTGACACAACTTGTTTTTAATGCATATAGGCTGGCTTCTGATCATAATCTTGTTTGTTTTTAAGTGCTTGCAGATCCACTGTTTGGCAATCTTATATAGGATTTTCTGGGAATATTAATCTTAAACTGAATAGGGTCTTGGTGACTAAAAGCAGTATTGTGAGCCACAAAAAAGTATCTGGATGCCCATATTGACACATGGACTCTGAGTTTCATTAACACCAATTGTAAGAAGGCGACGCTGATTTTACAAACTTATACAGATCAGAGTGAGAGAGATCTAGTTAATGTTCATATTAGAATCTAACAAACATTCTATATGCAATAAATGCTACCACTTAGCTCATTTGTTTTCTTCCTTTTGGCAATGAAATATGCTTATTTCCTTCATTTATATTTTTATTTTTCATGCCTTGTTACAATAACATATCATAATTGAGTCATTTGAAAATGAATGGCTCTCAGCAACCAATTAAAGATTGTCCTTGTGGGTTTTAACAATGAGGTTGCATTAAAATTGTAATTGTGGGATCCAAATAAAGCCTCCATTAATGTGAAGGAAACACACAGCCATCATTTCCTATTTGAAACAGATTAAATTCATACATTACCATCTTCCATGGTTCTTCCATAAGTGGCTCCAAAGCTTTTCAGAGCCATGAAACAGAGAGACAACCGAAACCTCCCCAGAGAAGCCAGCTGGATTAGTAGCTGCATTTTACTACAATACTGATGATTAGATAATGTTTTCCATAATACTCGAGCAATATAATGTATGCACGCAAAACCTAATTTGACATAGAGAGCTTTGTGTTCTAACACAAGGGAATCACTTAAAAGTTCATGCAGGATAGCCAACAGATTGTCAGGATTATCTCTAGTGGTTGATTTATGTTATATAATGGAAGGATTTAGCTCTATTCAGTGAAGTATATTGGAAAGAATCTTGCCACCCAATGATGTCACAAGCATCTCTTGTGACCTAGCCTATTGGGATGGCTCTTCTTCATTCATCCTTCCCATGCTATTTTCTCTTTTCCCTTCAATATGTCTGAACAAAGATGCCACCTGGCAAGCAGAATAAAGTAGAGATTGAAAGAGTTTGAGACTTTAATCTTTATCTGCATACCTGCTAATGGTTCCTCCATTAAAGCAAGTGTGTTCCCAACGGCTCCAGAAAAATGAGGTGGCATCCAGCTATTCTTGTTCTCCTTCTTATTTGTGGTGAGTTAGAACATTTGTGCAGCCTTTTTCCATTTCTAATTGTCCTCTTTTCTTGGAGCAACTTCAATTTCACTGTCAGGGCCAATGTGTTATTTTTTTTTTACTATCCCATTTATGGAATCCCCTGCTCCCATGATTAGGCCAAGACAAGATAATCTCCTTTTCTCTTTAGGAATTTTGAGTCCTCTTACACACAAAAAAAATGTCCTTGGAAAATCAAAAATGTTAATTTTTACTATATGTTTACAGTCAAAGACAAAAGAAAAACATAGAATAGAATAAAATTCTTTATTGGCCAAGTGTGATTGGCCACACACGGAATTTGTCTTGGTGCATATACTCTCATTATACATAAAAGAAAAGACATTCATCAAGAGTCAAGAATCAATCAAATCATAATAGGAAACAATAAAAATCGTTAGGATACAAGCAACGTTACAGTCATACAGTCATAAGTGGATGGGTGAAAGGAAGGATTGGAGGATTGATAGTAATAGTAATGCAGACTTAGTAAATAGTTTGACAGTGTTGAGGGAATTATTTGTTTAGCAGAGTGATGGCATTTGGGAAAAATCTGTTATTGTGTCTAGTTGTTCTGATGTTCAGTACTCTGTAGCATCGTTTTGAGGGTAGGAGTTGAAACAATTTATGTCTAAGGTATGAAGGGTCTGTAAATATTTTCACAGCCCTCTTTTTAACTCGTGCAGTATACAGGTCCTCATTTATATATATAAATGAAGAGAGGATGAGGAGGAAAAAAGAAAACAAAATCAAGTACCAATCCTTCAAATTACACAGTCTTTATTATAACAAACAATACTGGAAAAAGAAACAAACTGGTCTTTGGGAACTCTTGATACAACAGCTCTATGAATGGTGAAGGAGAGGAATAGCCAAATGGATATACAGGTAGTCCTCGACTTACAACGCTTCGTTTAGTGTCTTCTCAAAATGTCATAAAACGAGGCAAAATTCAGAACTGTGTCACTTAGCAATAGAAATTTGGGACTTCAATTGTGATTGTAAGTCAAAGACTACCTGTATTGTGCCCATCTTCCCAGTTTCATCGCTTTCTGGAATGAATGCTGTTCTTAGACTCCTACAGTCCGGAAATATTTATTTCCAAGCAAGTGTCCATCTTTCGAAGTAGGCAAAATCAAGAGAAACAGCAGTGAATTTAGGAATGGTCTTCAAAGTTGTACGGTATTATATAACAGAATCAATTTCTCACTATCACATCTTAAACCAAATCAAGGCAGGGTTATTCTGAGGGGTTTTTTCCTCATGCTTTTTTCTTTCCCATTCAGAAAAGAAACGAATCTTAATTCATCCCATTTCCAGGGCCAGAGTAACGTTTCAGCACATTATGCAGAGAGAAAATTGGTTTTTGGCAGCTAAGCACAATGGATTAACCTAAATCCATGTAGAACAAAATCTCTTTACTCACAGTGTGTATGCCTTTTTGGAAAAGAACGGGATAGCTTGCCACAGCCAACTCCCTGCAGCCAACTCGCCACAGCCAACTCACCATGGCCAACTCGCCACAGGACTACTGGCTGCGGGACAATTTAGCCATTCTTTTTAATTCTTTAAAATAAATAGAAACTTATTTTAAGTTGTGCCATTTACATTTCATTCTGTCCCTCTGTTTGCATCCTTTCTTCAATGATTCTATTCCACTATTTCTTTGATATTGCTGTAACCCTTGTCCTGCAGCGGGTTGTCATAGACCCTTTTTGGAAACGATCACATTCTTGTTCTTGTTTCCTCTACGCAGCGCTCTCAAAATGGCTTCTTGCAACAGACATACAGATACAAGATCCATCGCTAGCTGGCATGCCACTCTCAGATGCCGAATACGACCATTTCTTCAAAACACTGAACAGTCCACGCCGAGTCAGTGCAGTTTGCTTCTTGAGATCCATGTATGGCTGCCAGAATGCCTTGGTCCAGACTTTAGACTTGTATGAAAATCATGGAATTGTCCCAGAAGGTAAAGTCTACATAGTATTGTTCTTATTCCTCTTTTAAAGCTCAATTTGGAAAGCCATACTCACATTCAAGCAAGCCCGTGGCTCTCTTTACAAGGCAATTAAAATAATTTTTGCCAAAGGCATTTAGTAGATTCTTCCTGCTATTACTCCCATTGATATATATCAGGGGTCTTCAAACTTGACAGCTTTAAGACTTGTGGCCTTCAACTCCCAGAATTCCTCCTCCGGTCATGTTAGTTCAGGAATTTGGGGAGTTGAACTCCCCAAATCTTAAACTTGCCAAGTTTGAAGACCCTTGATATATATAGTCAATAAGATAAAAGCTAGTTTCCAGTCCCTGTTCAAGGCAACTCATATAGTTCGTGTTTCTTCTCAGAACAGATTTATTGAATATTATCTCAATCCCTAAATCATTTATATAAAGGTGTGTGTGTGTGTGTGTGTGTGTGTGTGTGTGTGTGTGTGTGAATTTGTTCATATTCATTCCTTGGTATTAGAGATAAGAAAATGCAAATTACAGGATGTCCTCGATTTATAACCATTCATTTAGTGACCTTTAAAGTTACAACACTGAAAAAAGAGACTTTTGAAGAGTCCTCACACTTACAACCGTTGCAGCATCCCTGTGGTCATGTGATCATGATTTGGGCAGTGGGCAACCAGCATGTATTTAAATACAAAGAAGGCAGTGTCCCAGGTCATATTTCTTGCAACCTATCCAGCTGGGCTTCCAAGCAGCGAAATGAATGGAGGAAACTGGATTACTTTGCAACCATGGCAAAAAAGGTTATAAAATTGAATACGGTCATATGAAGACTCTCTTTAGAACCTCAGCAATGGATGTTCCAGTCCCAACTGTGATCATAAATCCTGGACCACCTATAGAGATTTGCAATGTGCCTCTAAAATGAGAGATTTGAGTGATAGAGATAGATAGATAGATAGATAGATAGATAGATAGATAGATAGATAGA